TACCCCCCCCATGCCCCCCACTTCTTGATGCTCCCAGATGCCTCCCAAAGGGCCCCAACTCTTCCCCATCCCCACGCCCCTGCTGGGCCTCTGTCGCCCCAGGCTGCCCTCCCCTACCGTGGCCCATGCCGCTGTTGTACACAGATGCCGCCCCCAGGACTCCCTTTCTCCATGTGCTGACTGGACCCCCAGCCCCCTGCTGGCCCCACACGAGCCCCAGGATCGCGTCCCTGACATCGATCCCCCATTCTCCCCGAGAGACAGCACATACCAGTCTCCTCCTTTCCCTGGCATTATTAACCCCCCTCAGGTACAACGCATACCGCACACCCACCTTCCCACAGTTCCGGACGCAATACATCCGGCGCAGGAGCCAGCTGCTGAGAGAAAATGCCAAAGCGGGGCATGAGCCTGCCGTTCGAAGGCAGTACCTCAAGCTGAGGGCCCAGCTGTTGGGGCAACGCTATGGACCTCTGTCGGAGCCGGGGAGCTTCCGCGCCTACAGCAACAGCGTCGTCCGGAGCAGTCGAACCACACTGGACCGAATGGAGGTGGGTCCCTAGAACTCTGCTGCCTGCGCTCCCCCGGCTCCAGAGTCTGTAGAACTCCTGAAGGTGATTTCCTGCTCCCAGAATGGGATCCCCAATGCTGAGGGTTGAAGCTGAATCCCTCTGCCTGGCAGGACTTTGATGAGGACCCCCGGTCCCTGGGGGCCCGAGGGCACCGCCGCTCCATCAGCCGTGGATCCTATCAGTTGCAGGCCCAGATGAATCGGGTCATCTATGATGAGCGGTGAGGGAGAAGAATTGGGGGGGATTGGCTTTGGTTTGTTTGCCTTTTTGAGTGTGGAGGGGGTTGCTTTTTCTGGTCCTCGTGATCTATCTCCCCTGACCCTGTTTTCTAACACTAGGACCCCAGGCAGTGTGGTGCCCACGTCAGTGGCAGAGGCCAGCCGGGCCATGGCTGGGGACACTTCACTGAGTGAAAACTATGCTTTTGCTGGGATGTACCACATCTTTGACCAGCATGTGGACGAGGCTGGTGAGAGCCAGCGGGAGGGAGCTTCGTAAATCTTTGCAGGACAAACTGTAGCTATGGAACTTGGAGCACATCACTTCTCTCTTAAGCCAGTGGCTAGCGCAGAGTAGGAGCTTAATAAATACTTGTTCCCTCCCTCTCCCTCTCCATCTTTAACACTGAAAGGAAAATGAATTTTAGATAGTCTGTGTGGAGGTCGTTGCCCAACAGCAGCAGGTTTGGGCACTTAAAATGCTAATGGAGCCAGATCTTCCCAATTCTTCAACTGCTACTTTCCTCCTCTAGTAAAATCTAGTGACTGGCTCATTGCCCTGACACTCCTTGTTTGGGAAATAAATGTCTGCTCCCTCATTTCCCCCAGTTCCCAAGGTCCAGTTTGCCAATGATGACCGCCACCTGCTAGCCTGTTGCTCCCTGGATGGCAGCATTTCTGTGTGCCAGCTGGTACCTGCCCCCCCTGTGGTCCTGCGCGTGCTCCGTGGGCATTCACGTGGTGTGTCTGACTTTGCCTGGTCCCTGTCCAATGACGTCCTTGTGTCCACTTCGCTGGACGCCACCATGCGCATCTGGGCCACTGAAGATGGCCGCTGCATCCGGGAGATCCCTGACCCAGATGGGGCTGAACTGCTCTGCTGTACCTTCCAGCCAGTCAACAATAATCTCACTGTGGTAAGGTCCCCCCGCCTCTCCCGTTGAGCCCCTTGTCCTACCTCCCATTTTGCCTGGCCCTTTTTGCAGGTCAGAAGAACCTACTGGTGGGGGGCGGCTGGGTGGCGCACCCTTGGAGTCGGGAGGACCTGAGTTCAAATCCGGCCTCAGACACTTGACACTTACCAGCTGTGTGACCTGGAGCAGGTCACTTCACCCCATTGCCTAGCCAGGGGAAAAAAAGAACCTACTGGGTTTTACGCTTTCTGCTCTGACCCTGGCTTCCAGGAGCTTTAGAACCCCTTCCACGGAAGTACAACCTTCTGGGAACTTCTTTGGTGCTGTGCCTTCTGCTCCAAAGCAAAGACAGAGTTACGGCGTTGTATCTAGAACCCCAAAGTCTCTGCCGGTGCGCCCCGATCGTGTCCCGTGGACCCTGCTGTGCTCTCGTTTGCCATGCAGATCTGGGGCTGTCCGTCTTCCCCCTCCCCTGGTCCCAGGCTGAAGCTCTGTGACCTCTCTTCTCCAACAGGTGGGCAACGGGAAGCACAATGTGCACGTCATGAACATCTCCACGGGCAAGAAAGTGAAGGGTGGCTCCAGCAAGCTGACCGGCCGTGTGCTGGCCCTGTCCTTTGATTCGCCCGGACACATCTTATGGGCCGGGGATGATCGCGGCAGCGTCTTCTCCTTCCTTTTTGACATGGCTACAGGTAAGAGGAGGGGAGCTACTCCGGGGGAGCGGGCCGCCCCCCCCCCCCCCCCCGAGAACGGAGACTCAGAAGGCTCCCTGCCCACACAGGGAAGCTGACCAAAGCCAAGCGCTTGGTGGTACACGAAGGCAGCTCCGTCACCAGTATCAGCGCCCGTTCCTGGATCAGCCGGGAAGCCCGTGACCCCTCCCTGCTCATCAATGCCTGCATCAATAAACTGCTCCTGTACCGGTGAGCGGCGGCCCCCTCTGTTGGGTAGTCCCCTGAGTGAATTCTTACTCTGTGGGACTATGAAGGCCAGCCCTGGCCCCCCACCCCACCTCTCTCCTCCAGGGTGGTGGATAACGAGGGCACTCTGCAGCTGAAGAGAAGCTTCCCAATTGAACAGAGCCTGCACCCTATCCGGAGCATCTTCTGTCCCCTCATGTCCTTCCGCCAGGGGGCCTGTGTGGGTGAGCTCAGGGGCTTGGGGAAGACTGGGGAGGGGGCGGGGTGAGAACTCTGCCTCTGATGACGCTTCTGTCTCTCGTTCCCCTCCCCCTCTGCTCTCAGTCACAGGCAGTGAGGACATGTGTGTCTATTTCTTTGATGTGGAACGAGCCACCAGGGCCATCGTCAACAAACTGCAGGGCCACAGCGCCGCCGTGCTGGATGTCAGTTTTAACTGTGATGAGAGCCTTCTGGCCTCGAGTGACGCTGGCGGGATGGTCATCGTGTGGCGGCGAGAGCAGAAGTAGCCGTCGCCTACGCCGAAGAAAGGCCCAGGCCTGGGCCAGGCACGTGGTCTCAGTGAACTGAGGAGGGGCATAGCAGTAGCGGGGAGGAGAGGGGAAGACTGTGCTAAGCTATCATAGGTGTAGACCTCTGTAAATAATAAAAATCCATGTCTGGTGACCACTGTGCCTTCCTACATCCCCACTTTTGGCTGGGGGAGATGACCTAAAGAAATGAGGCCTACTCTTGCTGTCTTCCCAACCCCCACCCCTCCCCAGCCAAGAGCCCACCCTGCGAGAGGAAGCAGCAGGACAGAGACCAGAGAAAGAACACCAACCAATGTCTTATAAGCTCAGAAACTGCTCCAAGGAAAACTGTTGAAAACATACTGGTGATGAGTTGAACGTAACAACCTCTCAGGGAAAAAGGACGGATCCACTTCCCAAGCATCCCCTGCAGGGGACTGAACAACCATCATCAGAACATGTGAACTCAACTTAAGTGCAAACTGGGAGAGGAGGGTGAGGGCCTGGGCCAGGTAAACTCTGGATGCCCTCCCCCTGCAGCCCAAGGGAGATGGGGGCGGGGCAGTAACTTTCCTGCCCTGAAAGGGAGGTCAAGAGCCTGGGGGAGCCACTGTGCTAGCCCCCAGCTTTGTCCTGGGCTATCCCGAAAGCAAAGGTGACAGGTACTAGAAGAGGTACTTCCGGCAGGAGTCAGTTCCGCATTTACACTTAATCCGCACCCGCTTCCTGGGAGAGCCTGCGAGACCAGCCAGACCGAAGTTAGAGTCCATATGTGTGCTTTCCACATCTACGGGGTCCACTGTGAAAAGAGGGCTCGGTTAAAGGTGTCAGGGCCCAGATGTTCTTGACGTGTCATTGACCTCCTGGGCTCCACCCTGCTCAGCTCAGCAGCTTCATCCCCCCCACCCCTGGCCCTTGGTCTTCCTTCCCCCTCCCCAAATCTCAAGATCCAACCCTGACCACTGAAGGCAGATCTAGGCCTCAAACTCAATGGTGCCCCGACATACCTTATGCTGCTACCAACCCCTCCCCCCCCAACACCCACACAACCTTGCATATTGTAGTCAAAGGTTAACTCCTCGCCTGCCCAGATAGTTCGAGTGGCAAAAAAGGCAATTCGTGGTAGGCGCTCGTCCAGATTATCGACAAAGACGTTGTAGACCTGGAGGTTGGGGTTACACTGCCCAGAGGAAAGAAGGGCAAAGGTCAGCATGGAGGAGGTAGAAGGGAGGGGCCGGTGTGAACCCACCCTTACCCCCAGCCACCTACGCTATGGTTAACAAAGTGGGAGACGTTCCCAAAATGCGCTGCGTCCACCGTGTAGACATCCTCCACGTAGTCCAAATCGAAAAGGTAGGTGGTCCCCTGCCGGTCGTAGATCTGCCCACGCCGCTCTGCCTCCTCGGAGGTGATGATCTGAGGATTCCAGAATCAGGGGAGCTCATGTCAAGAGTCTGAAGACTACCATTTCTGGAGCAGATTTGAGCCGCAAGATGACCCTGGGAGGGTCTGAAACCCATAGAAACAACAGAGGTAGAAGGATCTGGGCAGAGGACAGGCTCTTACCCCTCTTCCACATCCCTAGGGGGCGTCCGGAGGCAGCCCTTCCTCCATTTCCGGACAGTTCTGATCATTTGAAAGCTGAAATCTGTCTCCCTGGATGCATCCCACCCCCCAAGGCCTAGTCTTGCCTCTCAGGGCCTGGCTGGGTGCTTAAGGGTCACTGTCCTTCCTTTGCAGACCTACCCAAGGAGCTTTGGAGTCGCCAGCCTACTCCTCTGATTCCACGTCCTCTGCCCCAACCTGCTCTTGGAATCCACCTCTAGCGAGCCTATCAGACAGGCCTCATCCCAACTCTTCCCCCCTTCAAGGCCCAGCCAGAGCCCCGCCTCAGCATCCCCAATTTCTCCACGGGCAGCTTCTGGGCACCCGTCTCACAAGTCTGGTCCCCAAGTAACTGCTGGGCCCAGGTCTTCTTGGCTAGCACTCTCCAACAGTGCCCAGAACACAGGCTCCTGACCCTCAAGAGCAAACCTGCTCCCTTCAGATAGCTGAGTCCCACCAAGAAAGTCTCTTCTCCAAGCTACACACCCTCACCCTTACCCTCTGGTCACATCTCATGGGTTTTACAGATATGAGGAAAACTGAGGCCCAGAGTAGGAAAGAAACTAACCTCGAGTCACACAGGGCGCTGGGAGATCAAGGAAATCCATTATGTTGCCTAAATCAGGGGTTGACCATCTTTTCAACATGCTGCACCCATGTCATTGAATGGTAGCAGTGGAAGGGGGCTTAGAGAGATCATCCAGTTAAACCCCCCCCCCCCCGCGACCTATATCAGAGGAGAAACTGAGGCCCAGAAAATGAGTCGGGGAGGCCACTTGAGCCCTGCGTGACTCCATAAGGGTTGGCCAGGTTCCAGACTGGACAGAGCTGGAAAGAAGCTCAGAGATCGAGCAAAGCCAATCGTCATGTTTTTGAGCCCGGCCAAAAGCTAGTCTCGGAGCTTGTAAGAAGCAGGGCCAAGACTCAAATCCAGGCCTCCGGAGTCTAGCCCGGCATTCTCTGCGAGTCACTCACGTCCCTCAGTCACAAGTTGGAGCAAATTCTCCACCCTACCCCAGCCAAGAAATCACTGACTCCACCCCATCTCAGGGGGAGGGACTGAGGCCCAGAGATCACACAGCTGGCTGACCCGGAAGGCAAGGCTAGAGGAGGGCTTGAAGATCATCTACTGACATTCCCGCTGGAAAGACTAAGCCCCCTCCAGAGAAAGCACTCATCCAGAGTCACCCAGAAAGTTTAGAGGGTCCACGTATCTGTAACACTGTTTCCAAATCTGGGGCTCCCAACCTTTTGGACTTGCTGAAACCCTCCATCAAAATGTCAGATGGAAGATGTAGGAGGGGCCTCAGGGCCCATTGGTTCTGACCCCACTGCTGAACAGATAAAGGGGTAACTAAAACCCAGAGAGGGAAAATCCCCCAGGGAACTGGGGTGGGGGGGGAGGCAGATATCTGAATTACTGTGTTTGTCAGCAAGAGGTCAGCTCTTTAGAGCTGAGGCCCAGTACCGGAAGGAGGCTTAGGGAACTTCCTGTCAAACACTGTTAGTGTGGGGTGGATCTCACGTTAGAGAAAGCAAGACTGAGGTCAAGAAAGCAGAAACAACTTGCCCATGGCCACATAGAGAACCCACGCCCATAGGCATTCACTGACTCTCAAAGAAGCATTCCTCAGTGTCCACATTAGCCTTACCTCACCCACGTACTCCATGACAAAGCTGTGGCAGCGAATCTTCTCGAGCGTGCGGACCCCCCAGCCTCGCCCGTCAGCCGTGCGGAAGATGCACAGATTGTAACTGATGCCCCTCTGCACCACACGGTTGGGGCAGTCGCTGCTACAGCGGCAGCGGGCGTTACACTCGTAGATGGGTTGGCCAGCTTGCAGCCGCACCTGACCTTGGGCATTATAGGCAAACTTGTGGAGCGATACACCCGGGCAGCAGCCGTTGGCCGGAGATTCCAGACAGTGCTTGCATTCGCAGCCGATGGCCACCTGGCTCAGGGTGATCCCTTCGCCCACCTTGTACTCATTGATGTATGTGAAGTCCCAGGGGGGCCCATTTAAGTCCACTTCATTTTCCACAGAGATGCGGCCCTTGTGAGCCCGCTTGGCATTCAGCTCCCTCTCCCAACGCTGCAGGGCCTTGCGCTGCCTGGCCTTCTGCACTAGGAAATCTACCAGGGCTGCATCCAGGTGTCGAGGGGGCCGGGCCCTGGGCCGCCTCCCACTACGGCGGAATAATTCACGCTCCAGGTCTCGGTGGAACTGCTTCAGGATCCCAGCACATCTCAGGTTCCGGCGTGGCTCCCACGTGTTCTCAGAGTCCGGGTAACCTCTCCACTTGACAAGGTAGTACTCTTGATCCTGGAGGACAGACGAGCCAGATGGAACAGCATGTGGGGGATGCCCTCCAGGGCCTCCAGACACTCACTCAGCACTCACTCCATCCAGTTCCCCTCTAAGGCCTGTGAGTCAACCGAGAAGAAGGAGCAAGGCACCTCACCCTCCACCCAGGCTGCCCCTACCCCGGGGGACTTACCCGGACCTTCTTGTAGTTGCACAGGTAGTCCACCTCAAAGATATACAGGTTCTTTCGGGAGATGCCAAGAGCAGGGCAGGAGGTCTTGGCCAGCCGGCACAAGTCCTGTAGTTGTCTCCATGAAGATTTGCCACACACTCTGCAGTCTGCAAGCCCCAAGAGAAGCTGTGAGGGGGTTGCTCTGGGCCAACAGGAGAGCAGTGAAGAGGCCCAGGCTCCTCCCTCCTCAGAACAAGAGGCAACTGAGAGAAGGCCCAGAGGAAGAGGAGTACCCCAGCCTCCCCCCCCAACATAGTGCTGCAGGGAAATGAAATGAAGGTCCCGGACTCAGGGCACCTAGCTTCAAGTCCTTACTGTGGAGCTTCTCTGGGACTCAGTAGCCTCATATGTAAACTGAGGGGCAGACAAGAAAATCTCCAAAGGCCCTTCCAGCCTGCAGCTGGAGAGCATTTGGAACCCTCAGGGTTCCTCCCTCTGAGCTCGTCCCATCCGAGGCCTCTCCCTGCTCACCCCTCTCAGATGATCTCTTCGACCCAAACTGTGAGGGAGGCTTCTTACTTCTCTCTCTTGTGAGATCTCACCCTCAGTGAACTGCTGTTGCTATCACGCACATCCCTCCCATTCCTGTCAGACATGCCTCCTCTATCCCCTTATTGCCGTCCAACATTTTTGCTTGGTGTCCCCCAATTTCTGACGTATCCCAGAGTGCCTCATTCCTCTCAGACGTGTCCCCCCAGGAGTTCCCCACTCGTCTGACGTGTCCTTCCTACTCCTCCCTGTCAGATACGGCCCCCTCAGAGCCCCTGTTCTCATCAGCCATCTTCTCAAGGCACCCCCTTTCTGTTGGATGTCCCCTCAGAACTCCCTTCTTTGTGTCAGACATCTCCCCCTCAGTCCTGCCCATTCCTAGCAAACTCACTTCTGTCAAATATGTCCCCCCTTTCCTACCACACTTCCGGTCCCAAAGCCCACTCCGTCTTTCCCTTAGTCCTGTCCATTTTCTGTCCCATCACACTGCTCTCCCCTTTATCTTAGGCATCCCCGCAGAGCCCCCATTCTTATCAAACACATCCCCCAAAGTGCCTCCGTTTCTTTAGACATTTCGGACTCCAAGCCCCCTTCTATTGCTCAGACATCTCTCTCGTAAGTCTTGCCCGTTCTTATCAGACGTATACCCTTCAACCATCCCTCCTTTCTGTCAGACATTCCTCTCCAGAGCTCCCCATACCTGTCACATGTATCCTCTCTGATTCCCCCCCCCCTTTTGGCAGCCACTTCCTGCTCCAAGCCCCACCCCATTTCTCCTAGACATTTTTCCCTCAGAGTCCTGCCCATTCCTGTCCAGACATGTCCCATAAAATGGACCTGCCTATTAGTCAGACTTATTCCCTTCACAGTCCCCTCATTTTTGTCAAACATCTCAACCTCAGAGTCCCCCGAGGTTTGTGACATGTCCCTCTCTGAGCTCCATCCCTGTCACACGTCCCCCGTCATGGCTTGGGATTTCTATCAGCCACTTCCTGCTCCAAGCCCCACCCGTTCCTCTCAGACATCTTTCCCTCAGTCATTCCCATTCCTGTCTGATATCTCCCCTCAAACTGTTCCCTTTTCTATGCAACATGCCCTCAAAGTGCCCCCTTTTATGTCCCACATCTCCTTAGAGCACCCCATTTCTATCAAATCTTCCAATTCCTGTCCAGCACTTCCTGCTTAAACCCATGCCCCATTCCACTGAGACATCTCCCCCTCAGAGCCCCCATTCCCGTCAGGTATCGGCCCCCCCACTCCTGTCAGACATTGCCCCCCCAATTCTGGTCAGACCCTTATTTCTGTCAGCTACTTCCTGATCAATGCCCCACCCATTCCTCTCAGACATCTCTCTCTTGGTCACGCCCATTCCTGCTGCTGTCTCCTCTTAAACTGCTCCCCTTTTCCGTCAGACGTGTCCTCTCAGGGCTCTTTCCTGCGACTGGCCTCCCCTCAGATCCCTCGATTTCTTTAAGACCTCTCATCAAAGGCCCTGTCAGATCCCCCCCCCCCACTCCTGTCAGACGTCACCCCCGATTCTTGTCAGGAAGGGCCTATTCCTGTCACACATCACCCCCTCATTCTTATCAGACATCGCCCCCAGTTCCTGTCAGACATCACCCCACTATTCCTGTTAGATACTGTCCCCAATTCTTGTCAGACATTGCCCCCCCCCTCCCGTCAGACGTCCCCCCCCCACCTCGGACAGGCGTCGGGCGGTGCTGTCGGGTAGATCTCGGCGCGCCCCCCCAAAAGGAAT